TCCCTAACACCCAGAGGGTGTGGAAGCATTGAGAATCGGAGATACCTTTACGAAGAAACTATGTTTAACTTAAATGAGTGCAAAGAATACTGACTTAGGGCTGAACAAAAAAACCCTGTGAATGAAACACACAAAGAGAAAATCTGGAACATCTCTGAGCAAAATCGGCAGGGCAGCAGACCAGCAAGGAAATACTTGCGGAGAGTCCTGTTGGAATGGCATGGCTTTTTCTTTTTTCTTCTTCATGTTCCTTTCTCTCCATTCTAAAGGAAGTCAGCACCAGACAAGCACAGTTCATCTTGTTTCCCAACAAAATGGCCTTTGAAGAACACGCTTTTGAAGTGCAGTTACCGCAGTGTTTAGGAACAAAGATGACGGTTGTGGTAGTAATGGTCCCCCGCACACTGATCAGATTCATACTTTTCTATTATAGTAAATGTGCCTGGAGTAATAGAATGTTCCAGCAACACTAACCATGGCCACACTGTTCTATTTCCTGAGAAATAACATTTTCAAAAGTGACAAAGGATTCTCTCACAAAGGGCCAGCAATGGGAGTCAGAATGACTCAAGTGACAAAGAAGGCCTCTTGGTGTGGTTAGCTTATTGCCCCACTTGGTTCGTGACCCAAAAACAGGTCGAGCCAATGCATTTCCACATCCTGGGGACATGCTGCCAGCAGCAAAGATGTGCTGTGGGCAGGACTCGTGCCAAGGTTACCTCAGACAGGGCTCGAAAGACAGCATCGGCCACCTCGTAGCACGGGAGAAGAGATGGCTTCCCTAAGTCACTTGTTTAAAAATGGAGACCACAGTGTTCCTTTCTTCTTTCCTGCCTCTCTGTCAGGAAAAACACAAGCTTTGCTGAAACATTCACTGTCCGCTTAGCAAAAATATCTACCAGCTTTAGCTGCAATCAAGAAGAAGGCAGCTCCAGAGAAGGGACCTCCCACAGAGAAAAGCCCACTGACAAACCTGGAGAACCACCTGGTGATCATTGCCTATGGGCAGCAGTGAGGCCTTACCTCCGTTCAGGAGAAGCCCTCTGGATCATGAGATTCCAGGAGCTGTGCTAAGCAGGCACTGATGCAGAAGGTCATTCATGTGAGACATGGTGTTAGCAAATGTGAGTGATCAGATCCTTGAATAAAGCATGAGATGACAGAGGCACACGGTCTGCAAGACAGGGAGGGGTGAAGGGATTTGAAGAAGTAGAGCCTGCCTGAAAGGCTCAAGTGACTCTTCCCATCTGCTACGGTTTGAGTATGGCTGGCTCCCACGGGTTCTGGTGTTGGAATTTGGGCCTCAGTGTAATGGTGCTGGGAGGCCATGAAACCTTTGAGAGATGAGGTCTAGTGGGTGGTGATTGAATCATGGAGCCGTCCATCTCCTGAGTGGATTAATACTAGCCCTCGACAGGGAGAGTTTTAACATTCATAAGAGGGGGTTCCTGTGAGAGCTGGTTGTTAGAAAAAGAAGATGGCTGCCCCTAGGCCTCTCTCTCTCTCTCTCTCTCTCTCTCTCTCTGCTCATACCTGCCACCATCTCCGCTTTTGCTGGTCCTGTTGTGACACAGCAAGCCTAATGCCTGTCATAGGCCTTTGTACTTGCCAACCACCAAAACCATAAGACTATTTTAAAAACAAACCAAAACCCTCTAATCTTTATAAACCCAGTCTCAGGTATTTCTGTTCGCGTCATAATACAGACTAAGATGCCATCTCTCGGGAGAAGAGCTTTCCTCAGTAAAAGGGAGATTTCATCAGGCTCTTCCACAGCCTGGAGAGAATATCTCATGAGATCACCCAGCTCCTCTGTCCTGAATCCACCTCTGCCACAGCACTGGCAGTTCCCCATCCTCCTCAGAGTGGAAGGCAACTCTGGAAAGGTTTCTGCCAGGGAGGGCCGACCAAGCGCTTTGCCTCGGGACACTACATTTCACTGAAGCAGACACTGTAAATGATTTCTAAGGATTGTGCATATGTTTAAGCTCTCTTTCTCCTCTCAGATCCCAGCCTCCTCCCCTTCCTGTCCAGGCCACAAGAGGTATCCCCTTAGCAGCTAAGACAGACAGACAGAGAGGGCCAGGGTCTGGAGCCCACTGGCCTGGGGGCCCCATGCACACTCTGAACCACGTTCCTCACTGCTTGCCCTACGTTCAGGGTGAACACTCTGGGGAGTTTGCATTTTAAAGCAATACTGTCACAGTCTGGCTTGAAGCCTAGTGCCTGGGGAATTGGGTTTGGGTGAATTATTGCTCCCAACAGCTTATTAATTCCCAGAGAGAAATATCTAGCTTCTGGATTAGGACAGCAGGAAAGCCCCAAACCAGTGTCCTCATAATACCAGAGGTCCTGGGCCCGCCAGTGGCCCTCTTCTGCCTCTCTAGCAGCTTGTCATGGGCCGCAGGGTTTTCAGAAAGCCAGTGGGATTCCTAACACAGGACGAGATGAGATCAAGACCCAGAAAGCAGGCCCTGCCTAGTGGTCATGGTGAAACACAAGTGACCATAGGGGGTGAAGGGAGCAAAAGGGTGATCTATTGTATTGGGTGGTTGGAAAAACCATGGCATATTTCTCGATGTTTTTCTATGCAAAAATGTGTCATGACTTTTCTGATAAGCCGATATAATTTGAATGTATTTCAAGAGACTCTCCTCTCCCCAAACCATTCAGGATAGAAGGGTTTTTTTTACATTAAAACAAAAACAGCCCCAAAGAAGTAACCCCTGGCTCTGAGAATGGTTTCTTTCCCTCTACAGCTGTGGCCTCCAACTTTGTCCTATAGGGCAGTGACTCTTGGTAGGGTGTTTACTCCCCAGCTCACCCTTGGGAAATATGGCAAATCTGGAGGCTTTGGCAGTTGCTGTGGATGGGGCATGCTACTGGCAGCAAGGGGATAGATGAGAAAGGCCACCAGTCCTCCCACAGTGACATAGCAGCCTACACCACAGAATCATCTGACCCAAAATGTCCAAAGGCTCCTACTAAGAGCCCTTGCCTTTAAAGAGTATGTCTTCTGATCTCCCACAGCTCACTTGCAGCTAAACTGAACCAAGCATATTTGGTAGGGACATAAAAGAGAGGGATCAGTAGTAACTGAGTACAGGGGCCAGCATGTGGCATGGTGGTTAAGGCACTGGACTCCTACATGGCTGGCCACCGTTCAAGTCCTTGACCTGGCAGTTTGCCTTCTTTCTCTCTCTTCCTCTCTCTCTGTCTCTCTCTGATGAACACATGTGCTTATAGCAAATTTTAAAGTAATAATAATAATAATAATAATCATAGTCATTCTTTTTTAAAAAATTAACTTTTTTTTATTTTTTAGAGATTTTTGCTTTAGGGAGCCGGTACTTGCTAGAGAGACAGAGAGAGACAGACAGAAAGTGAGAAATCACCCCCTACTCCCCAGGGGGATGGCCATGCCATAATCCCTTCTCTTCCATTCTCCTCTCAGGATTTTGGGCACACACGCATACCCATGCCTGGTGTGAGTTTCAAGCTTCTATGTCTGGGACTTAAACTGCAGTCGACCACGTGGGAGTCTAGCAACGTAACCATTACACCATCTGTGTGGTCCCAGAAGAATTAACTTTAATAATTACAGCACATACACCAAGTCCTGGGTCTCCAACACTTAATTCCTAGAGGACCCGTGATCTGTTCTAGTGAATGACTTCCCTGCTATGAGCATCGTCTCCTGAAGTCCTAAGTGGCTAGCTACTCACTGCATTATGATCGAGTGATGGCAGAGAGAGCTCCATGGAACTGCAGAGTCCCCTGAAAGCTTACCATCTGTGATAGGGTGCTGTGAGAAGCAGAGATAGAAAGATGAGAACTGAAGAATAAGGCCAAACCAAGTGACCAAGCAAGGAGCTGAAAACGTCGCAAGGAACAAGGAGGATGAGTTAGCACAGGTGAGCAGATAGCATTAAAAGAATGTGAGAGGACCCCAAGAGCATCCATTCATCCCTTACTTTCACTAAAATATGTGCCACGTGTCCCCAGGCATCAGAGGCACTGAAGGCACTTTCTCTGCACTCCCCTCTTGTAGTCAAGCCAGGGTGATAAGATTCAAACACAAATAAGCAGAATACAAATACACCATTGGGAAGGCACAGTCGGCGCCTGGCCCGGTGTTGAGAGGAGCGATGTCTTTGCATGGTGGAACTGACTCTGGGATTGGTGCTTAGAGCAGAGCGCTACTGAGGGCTGAGCTGGCCTGGGAGAGGAGTCCTGCGGGAATGGCCACAAATGGCCTTAAGGTATTTGTCCTGGCTGGTCTCTTGGCCCCTCAACCAAACTCCTGCTTCATTCTCTCTCTCCTTCGCATTTCTAAGCACCAGAACCATATCTCCTTACTCTTATTAAAAACGGTGGGGAGGGGCCAGCAGGTGGCATGGAGGTTAAGGTGACTGGATCCCACATGGCTGACCACATGGTTAGAAGTCTCAGACTGGGCGACTTGAAAATCACGCCAGGTATGTGTGTATGAGTGTCCAAACTCCTGAGAGGAGATTGGAGGAGAAGGATGGCCACCCCACAAGGGGAGAGTGATCTCTCTCGCTCTCGCTCTCTCTCTTTCTCTGGTGAGTGCACACACACTATAGCAAAAAAATAAAAATAAAAGACTATGGTGTGGAGTGGTTAAGGAGGCTGGAGTAATACATGGCTGACTACACAGTTCCGGTTCAAGACTTAGCAGCTTGAAAATCACACATGGCACATGGGCATGCATTTCCAAAACCCTGAAAGGAGGGCAATATGGAGGAGAAAGATTGCAGTGTGATCATTCCCCATAGGGAATGCCTTCTCATTTCCTTTCTCTCTCTCTCTCTCTGTCTCTGTCTCTCTGCCCAGTGAGTACATGTATCCTCTGGCAAAAGAAAACAAACAAACAACAACAACATAAAACCTGTGGGGGGCCATAAGGCCCAAGGGAGACACTAATGGTTACAACTCACAGGCTATCTGACTTTCTTTTTCTCTTTCTGGTACCCCAGCCTCATCCAGGAACAGAAACTCAGAAGACTTTGCAGGCAAAAAGCCGTCCACTGTGAAGACGCACTAATATTTCAATGGCCTAGAGGTTTTTCGGGCAGAAATCTATACACCGAAGCTGCTAACAAGCAGTCCGACAGACTGCCCTGGGAGCTTGCTCCTCTGACAACAAACCAGCAGAAAGGTCAGCAGCCGGACACAGAAAGAGGAGAAGGGTCCTGAATAAACACAGACAGTTTAATCAACCATGAAGAAATCCAAGAGTCGACTGAAAGTGCTTTGTCAGGAGGAGAAGCGAGGCCCCTGCCCTCGGAGAAAGGCGCCCGAGGTTGGAGGTCACTGTAGCTGACCAGAGGCCGCCGTAGTGGAGACCTTGGGGAGACCTCAGGGGACACCAGTGGGAAGACCCAGCAGCAGAAGGTAGGAGGGTGAGGGGCAGCCAGCATTTGAGCATTTTCCAAGGAGTCTGGCAAATAAGTGTTCCCTAGAAAGATGATTTAGCTCAGTAAGAAGGATGACATTGTTTTTAGAATCACTAGTGTTACTCAAAAGTTGGTTACTCCTTCAGGCTTTTGCCTGTCAAGTCTGTCATTTCTGATTGCAGACTCCTCAGGGTATCTGAAATACTGGTTTATTCGAATTGCATCAATGTCCTTTACTTACATCTAAAAAATCAAGGTCCAGCTATGTTGATATGCGCAAGGGAATGCAGATGAATGAAGGCTGACTCCCTGTCTCTGGCCCTGTAATGACTTTCTTTGTAAGCCTGAATACCCAATCAGATGTTCGCCTTTTCAACACATTTTGTCGTATTTATGGAATACCTTTAAACAATAGAATCTAGAAATTCCGGCAACATCTGTGTCCAAATATATCCAAGCCTGTTAATGTTTTTAATTGGAAATCAAAGCATTTTAGATGAACAAGTTATGGTATCATAGAAACTGCATATTTCTAGGTAATTCTTGAGAGCATTTTGCAAACCATTAAAGTAATGACATCATGCGGTATCTTTAAAAGATATTTCCCAGCTGTGAAGACTAGTAGAATGAAAATAAGGGCAGCATTCAAAAAAGTCTGCAGCATGAAAGGGTTTGCACAGGAATTCTGATTCCGCTAGGAAACCATTTCTTTTAGGACAATCTTACCATTTCCTATTAGTTCATAGTAATATGCTTGGTTTGTTCTCATTCCAATTAAAGATGCAATTCATTAAAGAGTCTTTAACGTCATTAAGACAGAGTTCTATTAGTGTTATCAAGCGTTGATGGGCTTCTAATTCTTGGCAAACGGGAGCACTGTAACTTTCAAACCCTCTGATCTTATAGGGAGCAACTCTCCTCACTACACAAAGATTTTCATGTCTATGGTCTAGCCTAGTAAGATGTTTATTCCTTTATGCCATGTCCAGTTTATTTCAGATCCAGGCCATGGCCCCAATAACTTTTTTTTATTATAAAATAATTTATATAATTTATTATAAAATAATAATTTATATAATTTATTATAAAATGATAACAATAATGCTTACTTTTTTAATAATTACTTTTTTATTTAATTTTATTTATTTATTCATTTATTCTTAATTTGAGCAGAGAAAGACACAGAGATAGAGAGAGAGAGAGGGAAACTGAGAAAGCAAGCTACCAGGTCTGGGTCTCTAACCATGATTGGCCATGTGGGAATGTCCAGCACCTTAGCCACCATGTCACCTGCTGGTCTCTCATAGCATTTACGTCATATTAGTGGTGGGCCATGTGGGAGTGTCCAGCACCTTAGCCACCACTCCACCTGCTGGTCCCGCTTACTTATTTTTTAATTCGACCAGAGAAAGAAAGAGAACGCAAGATACTAGGTCTGGTCATTGAACCATGGTCACTCACGTGGGAGTCCAGCACCTTAACCACCTGTTAGCCCCAGGTCCAATAACTTTTATAGAAGGATCATTGTATAGAAAAAGTGTGCCATTTTTCTTTTCTCTTTGAGGACTAGGAAAAAAATATAAAACTATTAAGGAATCCCATCACCTGGAGCTTCTCGGGAAAAGATGACTTTTGAAGGTGTATGGGAATTGTCAAGACAATAATTTTCTTTAGAAATTATGTGTTGGTACACAGAGGGGTATTGAACAGACTATGAAGAGGAAACGGCAGCTTACATATGAAGAAATGAGTTGCTATTTTCAAGGCTAGATGACCAAAGAGACCAATGCACAATTTCCCAATTTATCCTTTCATTTTAAAAGGTCGAAGAACTCAGGTACATCTAGATTGCTCAAGATCATAAAGAATACAGGAAGCACAGCTAGCAAAACCGCAAATCGTTCGTCAAGTAAGATCACCAGGGGTCTTTGTTTTCTTGTTTATTAACATTCGCGCCGAGCTGTAATTACCATGGTCGCGTGGTGTCTGATGTCACAGTCCAAGCCATATGAAATCACAGAGGCCAGGACAGGCAGGAAGAGAGGCCTGGCCTTGTCCTCTGAGTAATACAAAAGTCCAGTATGTGGGATGCCAGGCTTGGTGTGCTGAGGAGCCTCTGCCTGTCATCTTCTCCTGCCTCTGCCTGCCCCCTAGTGGGCAGTTAGGGAAAAGCACCGGAGAGGGCCTGTGGTCTGGAGGGTTTGGGGACTGAATTATGGCTCCCTGAGAACCTGGTTCTGAGAGCCTGCCTACCCCGGTCCTGTCTTGGGCGCTGTTTCCTGGAGAATCAAGCCTGGACCATGGATGTTCTAGAGCTTTCTAAAAAGGAACACCTTCATTGCAGTGTCATTTTCCCAGAGTCATCTGTCTACCTTTGTTCGTCCTGGTCCCCATGTGCTGGGCCCTGGAGACACAGAAGAAATGAGGCCAAGACTTCTCCCTAGAGGAACTCATAACTCGGCGCTGGCATGGCTCATCTGTCACTGATTGCCACGTGACGCAGTCCATGCAGCTCAATAGGTATCCGTGCCGTGCTGCGGGAGAGAAGGCGGCTGGCAAGAGACGTCGGATGTGTCACAGTCCGGGCCTCAGCAACGCTGAGCCAGCAACTGCTCTGACCAAATGACTCAGGTGAATAAATGAGGCTGGCACAGGCCAGCCTGACACCACCAACCTCTTGATATCCAGTCGTGCTGGGAGAAGCTGTCAGCTGGGTATTCATCCCTGACAAGCCACAGTGATCTGACTGTCCCCGCCTGTGTGGATGTTGTAAGAGGAGACAGACATCACCACGGGCTCCTTAGGGGCCATCGGCCTGACCTCCCCACCGCGGCAGCGCTCTGCACTGGCCAACGCTCTGCTCTGCTCACTTCCAGCCCTTCTTAATCTTTCTGAAGCCCTGCCTTGCACAGTGCTGTTTCACAGATATGGGAGATCCAGAAAAAGAAGAAGCGTAATTATTACGAATGACTCAGGAGCACTCCTTGACTGTGGTCTCTGCACAGACTTGAACTTTAAAAGCTAGGGTAATGATACTGTCATCTGTGTAGGAAAAGCTAGAAGGAAAAAGCAGATCAATAGTTTTAATGCCTGATTCTTGGCAAACATTTGTATAGGGAGGATGGATTCCCAGAGGTGAAGGTACCTGTTCAGAGCCGCACAAGACAGGGAGTCTTCGGGGTGGGGGCAGGGACATGGTCTTGTTCATCTCTCTCTGAGGTAGTAAATGTCCAGTGAGCAGTCATCACTTACAGTCCTGTCAGGACCCAGGGCTCTGAGAAACAGGGATTAGGAAATGAAACCAATTGGCAGGGCCTAAGCCCCTAGAGTTAAGATTTTTAAACAAATAAGGGAAACATTTGCCTGCTACAAAATTGTTGAAAGAGCTGACAATGAAGAAAGGGTGGGAATTACCTAAGGGAGAGGAGAGCTGAACCAACTCTTGCTCTATCCAAGACCACTTGGAGGAAAACAAATCCCCCTCCCTCAGGGGCAGAAGCAGCTGCAGGGGTGGCCATGACAGTGGCGGGGTGCTCTGGGCAGAGAAGGCTGGACGCATGGAGCCCCTGAGAAGGCAGCCCTGGGAGGCCAGTTCAGCCCTTCATCCCTTCCCTGAAGAAAGCTGGCATGAGTGCCCCAGGGAGAAAAGACTTCGGTGTCTGGGTGGGGTGAAAGTGTGAGGAGGCAGAGCTGAAGATGCTAGGAATTGACCTAAAATCCTTGGGTTCCCCAAGGCTCTTATAGCCTGAGGGAGTAGGAGTTACATATACCTGTAAACGGTGTTCACTTTTCAAATTGTGTAATCAGTCTAAAGATACTCCAACAGCTATTTTAGAATGGAGCACATCAAATTATCTTCCTGAGCCCAGTTTAGACTTCCTCCAAATTTTCTTACTTTCTGCATTTCTGTTTGTCCTCCATGCACCCCCCAGTAGCACCCCATCATTCATTCATTCATTCATTCAATATTGATTAAATGCCCACCCTCTACTAGGTCATGGTAGGTACCAAGAATACACTGTCAGCAAAAACAGTTGTAAAATAGAGGCGATGACCTTGATCAAATAAGCAAACTAACATAAGATTGCACTGTGGGGCCCTGAGTGTATAATAAGGGGATTTGATTTAATGAGAGATGTCAGGGGAGTCTCTGCAGAAATGGTGAATGAAATGAAATCTGAAGGAACGATAAGATAAACTAGGTCCAATGGGTTCTGTGCATACCCTAGGGTGGGACAGAGGATGTTTCCAAAGACATGCAGATGACAAGTGTGACCACAGCGCAGACATCAAGGGAATGAGACTCTCAACTTGGCTAGAGCCAGGACAGGCCATGAACAGGAACCCACTGAAGCATTTAAATGGACGGGAGACGTGGTCCAGTGTGCATTTCAGAAAGATGGCTCTGGCTGCTCCGTGGAGAACAGCTTGGAAAAGGTCGTAGTAAATGTCATTAGATGAGTTAAAGAGCTTTTTGTTACAGCTGAGTTTGAGACTGGGAGAAGAGCAATGGAGGGAGGAGAGCAGGTGGTGGGGTCCTGACAATGGTCAGGACCTGGTAATAGGAGAAATGGGTTTACGATATAGCCCACACTGTAAGTTCTTTCCAGAGCCTTCCTCTGCAATCAGCCCCTCTCTACATGGACTGGATCAACATAGCCTTCCCTTCTTTCAGGTGTGTCCCTAAAAGGGTCCCTTTGGTTCATCTCTAGGGATACCTTTATGATTTCTTTCGAGTTTTGTTTTTTTCAAGGGGAGAGGTTTTTGCTATAGGGCACGTACACTCGCCAGAAAGACAGAGAGAAACAGAGAGACAGAAAGCGAGAAATCACTCCCCAGGGCAATGGCCACGCCACAGTCCCTTCTCCTCCATTCACCTCTCGGGATCTTGGGCATGCACGCACACGTGCCCGGCGTGAGTTTAAGCCCCCGGGTCCAGGACTCGAACTGTGGGAGTCCAGCGACATAGCCATTATGCTAACTGCTGGTCCCTCTTTCGAGTTTTTTAACTCAAGAGAAGCAATGTTCGTGATACCTGGACACATTGACTCCAAGGTCATGGAATGAAGTGATGATAATACCTCAGATTACAGGACTGATGATTTTCAGGCTCCCGTGATCTTAACTGATAGACCGAGGGGCAGAAATCAGATCACGAGAATTTCAAAGCACTGTGGGCCACTATAACATTTGCCCTGCTGACAGGGTGCTCAAAATACCTGTACTGTCCAATCAACCAAAGTAGTATTCCACCAAATGCTTTGAGGATGCATAGTGACATTCCTGCATCAGCTGAGCATGGAATGAGTGACCGAGTGACCTCTTCTGCCTAGGACCTTTGCTTCTGCAAAATAGTCATCGATCCATTTCTGGAATGGTGTTTTAGCACCAGGTACCAGAACGGGATGATAAGGAAACTGAAGCCTGGAAGGCCTAAAAATAAAGGCAGTGCAATGTGATTTGTCTGGCAAAGGCAGGGACATAAGGCTGTGGAGGCCCGAAGGTGACAGGAGCTCTGCCTGGCAGAGTTCGGAAGGCCTTCCGCAGGGCATGTCTGAGCCAGGCGTCAAAGGTAAATAGAAATTTTTCTCGTGACGAGGAGGAGGCTGGTCATTTGAAACAGAAGAAGCAGCTCCTACAAAGACTCCTAACAGTAACGTGTGACCCAAAAGTGGTCCCAGAGGGGTGATGGAGGGGTTGTAGCAGGAGGCGAGACTGGAGACTGAGCGCTGATGGGATCACTGGAGGATTGTATTATAATTACCTACTTGGAGAACGAAATGTATCGGTTTTCTATTGCTGCATAACAAATTATCCTAAGACTGAGGAGCTCAAAATAACAAACATGTCTCATCTCATAGCTTCTGTAGGTCAGGAATCAGATCTGGCTTAGTGCTTCCCTGGTGTCAGCCAGGGCCAAAGTCAACTCCAGGTTCTACTAAGTGAGGGTTACCTTCCAGGCTCACCCCCATGGCTCCTGGCTCAGTTATGGCCACACCGGCTTCTGCATAGGGTAGCTTCCATCAGGGCAGCTGATGGGGGGATATAGAGACAGAAAAGAGAGAGAGTTTAGCTTCCATCAGGGCAGCTGATGGGGGATAGAGAGACAGAAAAGAGAGTTTTTAATAACCTCATCTCGGAAGTAACATCCCAATACTTTGTTTCCTATTTGCGTAAATAGTGCTAGGCACTAGATCCATCCAGCCCACGTTGGAGAGGAGGATACGCAAGAGCGTGACTACCAGGAAGTGGTGGTTATTGGGGGCCATTTTAGAGGCTACCCACCCACATATACCAAGAGCTATTTAAGACCCTATCTTGGCATCATCCTACTCTGCATAAATTACATAGGGAGACGTGTAATCTCACTGCATATTAGTTTGTTTTTGTTGACGGGAACACTCTGGTCTCCAGGAGCCCTGAAGAACAATGTGCTTCATTTCACATCACTCCCTAAGGATTTTATACAACCCACTTGGCACTTGCACTGTTATTATTAGACGGATTCAGCCAGACGCTGTCTGTGGGAGGAGGGCTAGGTGGGAAGGAAGGGCTGCAAAGAGAGGAAGTGATCAGGACCCCAGATCGAATAAAGGAAAAGGTCGCGCGCCCACTGCAAATTAGAAATGAATCCGAGTGGAACTAAGGATCCTGGCTGATAGCTCGCACACACAAGATGCCAACTTGCCACAGCTTGGCAGGCTCCTTGGTTTTCCCACATGCATCTGAAAATAGCTAGCATTCATCCTGAGGGAGTGCTACTAAAATAAGGAAATTCTGGGAGTGATACCTCACTGCTCATTCAAGCTAGAAGCAGTCTGCAATTATATTGCTGAAATTAGATAGGAATTAAATTGCCACTTCCGGAACTTTTTCTCCTGTACTACATTACAAAAAAGAAAAAAAATCTGATGTTTGAACTCTGAGCGTTTAGATGTTGCTTCTTAAGAAAGATATGTGATCTTGGGACCAGCAGTTAGCGTAATGGCTATGTCGCTGGACTCCCATGTAGTCGACCACGGTTTGAGACCCAGACCCGGTGGCTTAAACTCACACCAGGCGCATGTGTGTGCGTGCCCAAGATCCCAAGAGGAGAATGAAGGAGAAGGGTTTGCAGTATAGCCATCCCCCCTGGGGGGGTGATTTCTCGTTTTCTGTCTCTTTGTCTCTTCTGTCTTCCTGGCGAGCGCACGTGCCAAATAACAACCTTTCCAAAAAAAAAAAAACAGAAAAGAAAAAAAAAGAAATACATGTGATCTCTAATAGAATATCCACAAAGAAAGGTTATCAATATGAATCTCCTGGGAGACCTCATTTTTTCACAAACCAGCTTTTCTGATTTTTAGATCTGGGTTTAACTGTTATGGCCGTAGAGTGACAGACCAGTACAGGTAACGGGTGGAGGAGTGACTTGCTCACATTTGAGATCTACTGCATGACATCTTTCAACTTGTTAGAGATGCAGGAGGGGGATTCACATAGAATTGTCCCCTGGAATGGGATTGGCTCTGCTACCACTTTTTTGTGGTCTTCAGCTATCTCAAAGTTTGGATTTATTTGGACATAAAAGTTCTGAGGTTGTTTTTTTTTTTTTTTTAATTTTTTAGTTTATGTTTTTCCTCCATGAGTAAGACAAACAGAGACAGCTCCTCCAACAGGTCTCGACACCACCTACCTCCAGCCTCTGCCAGCCCTATTTCATGAGCATGTGTATGCCCAGGGAACTCAGGGAGGTCTCTGGACATGAACCCAGAACTCTACCATATGGGTCAGCCTCACAGGACGCTGTGTTTTACTGCTGAGCCACCGTCTGGCTCATTATGTTTTAAAAAGCAAACATACATGAAAACAAGCCATACTAATAATTTCAAGATCTCCCCTCAAATTTAGTCAGAAATATTTGCCATATGGATGTTGTTCAGGGGTGTTGGGGGTTTTCCGCCATGAAGTAGCCCTTGAACTGCACTATCTCCTTTATTAAACAGTATCTTTGACCTGCCCTTGTCAGAAGCAGGTGAATTTCTCAGACCCCAGCTGTGCTGGACCCTCAGAGGCTGGGTTGGCTTCTGGGTGGGGATGTTGTTTTTCCACAGTGAATTCCAATTCCCTTTGCAAAGGCAAAGATGACTTTTTTCTCATTGTTGGAGACATTAGTCACAGATGAAGCACATTCCTAACTCCCCCCACCCAGCCCCCTGCTTCTCTCCCACCCCACACACTCCCACGCCATACCCTTATTCTGTTCTAGCGAATCTTAGAAATGACACATCGAATGAAGAGCTTTCCAGGTCACCTTTCTTTCTGGGTGAAATTCTGCTGTTTTGTTTTGTGGTTGCAGGGCTTCGTATGCGTGACCGTATCTGCATCATTTTCCAATGAAAAACTGCTAAAAGGTCATCGAAGCATGCCCTTCCGTTGGCGATCCCTACAGCCTCACTTTCATTTTAGGTGTGACGTACTTCTGCCTTCTTTAACATTTTAGCTTTGGTGTTTTCTTTTCCTGATTTCTTAGGATTTGGGAATTCAACGAAGTTAAAATCTCAGAGTAAATTGTGTGATCTGACATGAAGTGGTATCAGCAGATTCCCAGCAGAGCTTGCGGCCCTTCCGGGGACCACACAGCTGCCTGGCCGGTGCTGAGTTCAGTCCCCCCTTTATTCTGTCAGAAGAAATCACAGCAAAGACTCCAGTTGCCCCAGATCAGGCAAAAAAATCAAAGCCACGACTCTCCCTGGACAACCTCCTGCTCTTTCAACACTTACTACACGATGGCCTGAAAAATCCCTGTTTGAAGAGACAGAACTTCTTTTAAGTCCTTCCAGGACAAAGGCAGACCCTGGGCAATGGGGAGAACCTGTCTCTGCCCAGGGACAAGCTGACGTTCCGGAGAGTGCATCTCAGTAGAGGGGCTTCTCCTTTCTGTCTCCTCCAGCTCACTGCAGGCCCAACCCTTGCAGAGGCCAAGTTTCCTGAGCAGAGAAAAGCTAACTCAGATCAAAAACCTAGGACTTTCAAAACGTGGCATACAGGAGAAGGACGGAGGGAACCGAGGCGCGCAAATGCTGAATGCTGCTCTCATTTATTTCCGCCATTTGGGGAAATTTTGATTAGCCACCTTTTCCCTTCCCTGATTTAAATGCGGGGAAATGTTTTTAAATGCTTCAGCTCTGGGGGATACTCTGGGTGGAAGGTAATAACATCACGGGGTGAGTGGGGGAAAGGCAGCCCTGTCACCTCTCCCCAAGCCCCCACCCACGCGCCCTGTTTCTGCCAAGGTGAACATAGCTGCCCAGATTCCCTTAGTCACCCCTGAGCGGTACGGATCGGCCTGCCGGCCCGCAGAATTCCGGAGTCTGCTGCCTTCTGGTTGCTAAGAGCATCAGGTGACACCTCCACCTGCCATTGCCCGCCCCAGCCCGGATGAATGTCCTCGGCGACCTTTAATGCTTGCATTTTAATCAGTAATAGCATTTTGGAGAGGAAGACCCTCCCACTTTCCGAGTTTGCAGGCACTCGGGGCTGCCCTCCAGCGCCACGCCACGGGGCAGGAGAGCGTTTCCTCCGCTCTGTGCTCCCGGCACGTCCAGGCGCAAAGGCACGCACGCACTAGCAGCCGTTGTCCCAGGAGCCTTGGGAGAGGCTCTGGCCTTGCCTAACAGGGGCCGGCGTCTTCCTCGCGGGTCCGACCGGTTCCCGGCTGGCTGACCCAGATCACTGCCGGGAGCCCCGATCTAGCCTGCGTCCGGGCAGGCAGTCGCGTGTCACCCGAGGGCATTCCGGCTGTCAGAGTTTGCGCGTGCGCAGAAAAGGGCTGCGTCGGCTCCGGGCTGTTGGAGGGCGGCGGGCCAGAACGCATGCGTCAGCTGAATCGCTCGAGCTGCCCCCCCCCCCCCCCGAGAACCGGGCTTCCCGGGTCCTTCTGTCCCTCCTGTTCTTGACAGCACGCTGGAGACACTGCACCGCTGGAAGAGAATCACGGGATGTTCAAGGTGCGGGTTCTTTCGAGTGCATTGCGTAATGCCTCCCTTTTAAATCGAGGTCCAAAGAGGTGATGAGAAAGGCCCAAAGCTGCATTTCTAGAAACTGGGACCAGACCCAGCTCACAGAGGTACGGTTTACACCCTCGTCAGTGAGCACTTATTAAGCGCCTGGATACTATGAACTCAGTGTACGCGTGGCTGTGAACCCTAACCACGAATACATCAGACAGGGTCACCGTGGCCGCCCTGGACTGGGCCAGAGGCCCAGGGGCACCTGAGTTTGATTTGATGATCTGCAGGGCTGCACGACTAGCTGGAAGGTCTTAGTGAAGCCGTTAACCCGTCTACACCTCAGTTTCCTTCTCTAGGAATGGATATAAAATGAGATAAGGTACTGCTTGGTACCGTTCCTGCACGAGGAAGGCACGCAAGCAAATATTCATGCCACGTTTTGAGAAGTAGAAAGTGCTAAGTACACAGGCGGTCAGGAGACAATCACGTACTGGGCTCCAGATAGAAGTCATGCGGCACAGAGGGAAGGTACTTTCTTGTGATCTGGCAAGATAGGGCAAGGAGGAAATGGCCTCTTTATCTTCCCTCCAGCTGCCTCCCCTCCCCCCCCAGCTCTCACTGTGACTCATGGTAGCTGCAGAGAGACATCAGAACCTCTTATCGGGGTGACTTGTCTGCGAGGTGGTGTAATTCATGTTTTAAGTCCTACCTTATCACAGAGGCCCCTCTCTTTTCCAAGGTGGAGCAGGCCCAGGAAGAAAGAATGGGGTTAGTGGATAAGAAGGAATGGCAGATATGCACCTCAGGTGTCAAAAGGGGGAGTCTGAAATCATGGATCACCATAGTTGAAGATCCAAGTGGACTCCCCCGTGTTAAAGAAGAAGCAGTGAAAAACTGTGAAAGGCGAAGTGACATCAAATCTTAGACTCAAGCGAGAGCCCTGGTGTTCTGTATCCCTATCGTGCATTCATCTGTGGATTCCTTATATCTGCCAGGTGTAAGGTACCGCCTCAGCGGGCAGGGAACGGGAAAGGAAAATGGGAATGCAGGAAGAGGCCCGGTTCTTGTGCAGCACCGCAGAGGTCATAACTAATTACTGTGATCACAGGTAGAGGAAGAGAATGGCCTGAGAGGAAGACGGATGTTTCGAACATTTTTTTTTCCTACAGGGCCCATGCACTAACCTGAGAGAGAGACACAGAGAGAGAGAAAGTGAGAAATCACTCTCTAGGGGAGGATGGCCTCACTGCAACCCTTCTACTCTGTTTTCTTCTTGGGATTTTGGGTATGCACACACACTCACCCCATGTGGTTTTCAAGCCGCTGGGTCTAGGACTCATACTGTGTAGTCAGCCCTGTGGGATCCAGCTGCCTTAACCACCACACCAACTAGCTGGCCCTGAACATGCATATGACGTGCCTGTGGACATCCAGGTGAAAACTTACAGGAGGAGTTGGGATCCTGGGTGCCAGGCTGGGGAGAGAGACCTAGAGATGCCCATTGGAGAACAGTCAGCAGAGAGGTGGTCACTGAAACTGGAGCAGGACTGAGAAGGCCCAGAAGAGGTGGCAGACTAAGAAGGTCATGGAATTTTGGGAACCAAACCCTGGCAGACAGGCACCAGCTTCTAATAATCTAAGAAGAAAGTGTGAGGAGGAGATGGAGAAGTGGGAAGAAAATTAGAAAAGAAAAAAAAAAAAGTGACATCAGGCAGTCCTCATCAGAACATTCTTCAGGTTAGGAAAGTGGTCACGAGCAGGAAATGCCACAGAGATGTCAAGCAAACGAACCCTGTAATTGTTCATTAAATTTGACAGCGAGGGAGTCACGACTTGTGTGACATCGATTTGGGTGGGACTCTAAGGGCGAAACCGTGTCAGAGTGTGTCAGAAGCAAATGCAGTCCAGGAAGAGGAACAGGAAGGCTGTGGGTAGAAACCGGGAGAGTAGGTCAAGCACGGAGAGGAAGTTACATCTGGAGGAGGAGGCTGCATGAGTGGTTTTTCACAGCAGAAAACTGGATGTGCACGGAGGAAAGAAACAGCAGGACAAGTTGACAGGGAGGACGAGATTGGTGTCTCACCATGCAATCCCATCACCACAAGTTAAGTGAGAGGCGAGGGCATTCCAGAACATATAACTCCAGAGAATGGGTCCTCTTGCTGCATTCTTTTTCTTCTACCCAGTGAAAGGAAGAAATGTACTTGGCAGGTTTGGGAATTGATTTGGGAGCTCTTTAGAACCATCAAATGCATTTAGCCAGCTCCATTTGCCTGCAGAGATGTGCCCGGTGCTACACAAATACTGTGAAATAGGTACCATTATTCCCGGGCCAGTCAGGAGTGCCGTAGCGAGTGTCTCACCAGCTTGACCCAGCTAAACTGAAAGTAGGATCCGTTGGTTTGCTACTGTGAGTAGACTGGCTTCAGGCCTGGTTACATTGCAAGTTCCTTTTAGCAAATACTCAGCCTCTCTTCTTGTTGATGTAAAGACAACAACCATCTTGCTTTTTCTGTATATTGTTTCTAAGTTTAGAGGTTTTTGCTATAGGGCGTGTGTGCTTGCCACAGAGACAGAGAGAGAGAGAGAGAGACAGAAAGTGAGAAATAACCCTCAGGGAGATGGCCACACTGCAATCTCTTCTCCTTCATTCTCCTCTTGGGATCCTGGGCACACATGCCTGGCGTGAGTTCTAATCCACTGGATCTGGGACTCAAATTGAGGTAGATTGTGTAGGAGTCCAGCAAAGTAACCATTACACCATCTGCTGAGCCCTAATATTTTTTTGTTTTTTTTTTAAAGGCACCCTCTCAGGGCCATCAGGTGGTATTATGGTTAAAGCATTGGATTCCCACATGGTCAACTGTGGTTTGAGTCCCAGACCCCGTAGTTTAAAATCACACCAGGTTAATGGTTACATCACTGGACTCCCACATAGTCAACCATGGTTCAAGCCCTGGACCTGGTGGTTTAAAATTCATGCCAGGCACGTGTGCGTGCACGCATGCCCAAGATCCTGAGAGGAAAATGGAGGAGACGGGATTGCGGCATGGCATCTGGGGGGTGATTTCTCACTTTTTGTTTCTCTGTCTCACTTTCTGTCTCTGGTGAGCACATGGGCCCTATAGCAAAGATCTCAAAAACAAAAACGACAAAATCATGCCAGTGCATGTGTGCCCAATACCCCGAGAGGAAAATGGAGAAGGGATTGTGCCATGGCCATCTGCCCTGGAGGGGGTGGGTGGTGGAATGATTTCTTACTTTCCCTCTCTCTTTGTCTCTGGTGAGTGAACATGCCCTATGAAAAGAACCTTAAAAAAAAAGAGAGAACCACCCCCCTCATAAGTCCAAAAGATACTGGATAGTTATTGCCTATTTTTTTAAAAAAGTTTTTATAATAAATAAAAAGTTGGCTCTAAGCACAGATATGGTAAAGGCAACATCAGCTTTTCTTCACACAATTTCACTTTTAATATCATAAAATGTGCCCACATAATTAAAAAAAAAAACTATCAGCCCTAAGAAAAAGAGATAGTTAGGGTCCAGAGAAAGGAAACACAATCATTAATTTTACTCTAAAATGTATGTTGTATCTTTCAGAAAGAGTATTGTTCCTTAAGGGATATCTTGAAATGTATAATATATAAAACTTAAATCTCAGAATCAAAAAACTCTTTGGAAAGAAAAATCATTAATCATAATAACGGGAAATAAACTCATCATGCCCTGGCATCTGAATCATGTAATTAATTCCGAAGGGACTGACTTTCTCTGCACGTGGAATCCCAGGAATCTCAGGTATTCATTTATTCAGCAAATATTTATTGCACCCTTCGTGGTTGCTCTGCACTGTACTGGGCACTGGGGAGTGAGGATGAGTAAGACAGGTTCGTGTCTGGGAAGGAGGGAGGCAGGTGGGGACCCAGAGCTCCACTCTGGGGGTGTAAAGCCACACTGAGGGCCTGCTGGAAGAGCAGTCAATATTTCAGCGATGGCTTAGAGACTACCCAAGATAATACTCTGTCTGAAGGCCTTGCACCCCCAAGTTGCCCAGTGCAGCACTGGGGTTGCATACAGAGACGATTTATTGCTGTGACTAAGGTGAAAGAGATTTATAAATCCTCTGTTACATCCCTAAGACAACTAGGCTCGCTGACAACTGAGAAATAATAACCCCTGGTCTTCCCAACTCTTGGCCATGTGTGCCCTGGCACTGACCACCGAGGCTGTGGCCATTTCAGTTCATCCGTTCAACAGGTAGTTATTGAACAAAGTGGCCTCAAATCCTCCCTTCTGGAGGAAGGGGTCTTTTTTAGTTTGCTTTTCTGTTACTAACACTTGAATACCATTTACTTGGGTACTTGATAAAGAATAGAGGTTTATTTAGCTTATGGTTTTGGAGTTCAAGGTCAAGGCACCCCATCTGGCAAGGATCTTCTTGGTGGAACTCTGCTGAGACCTGAGGCAGCCAGAATATCGTGTGGTAAGAGAGCAGAACCGTATGTACCTCTGGGTCTGTGTGCATGTTTCTCTTTATATAGCTGTGAGGATTCAGTCAGGGGATGCCCACACTAATGACCTTAGCCAACCCTAAACACCTCCTATAGGCTTACTTCTTAATCCCATAGTGAATTAAGGTTCTCTCCTTTCATACCTTGCAACCAAATATAACGTGAATTTCAGGAAGAAACAGTCAAACCACTGCAGAGGGGGAAGATAGTGTATAAAAATGGTGATATATGCTATGGAGAAAATGAAAGAGACTAGGAAGACAAGGAATGTGGGGTGAACACTATATGATATGAAATAGGGTCTTCAAGAAGTTCAGCCTAAAGACTCAGCTTCCCCCGTTACTCGAGCACTCAAGAACTGTGGCTGGTGGTGCATTAGGAGCCACCCAAAGAATGTGACCAGCTGCCTGACCCAGAGTTCCTGGGAAGTGGCCAGGCCAGGCCAAGACAGGTTGGCATGCATCTTCCTCCATCCCGCACACTTTCTCCAGAAATCTGGGCCAGCCAAGACTTCGTGTTTGGGGAGGAAGGAGAGTAGACGCCAGGACACTGGAATAAGGCCAGGAGGGGTGGGTACATTGGGCACAGGCTCACCTTACTGGGCATAGTCTATACCTGCGGGGGGAGAGTGAAGCGAGCTGAGGGTCAGGTGGTGGATCTTTAGACTTTGGCAGAGGGTTGGTGCAGGGTGACTAGAGTGCAGGAGCCTTGGGGACTAAGTCAAGGAATGTGTGGTTTTCTGCTAACTCTGTCTAAGGTAGCTCATTGCAACAGCCAAGACCTGCTTGTTTTGTCATCTGTGTAAGTACCGAGGTTCTTTTAACCATGAGCCAAGCAATACTGAGTTAGATTGTAGATTCACTGGGAAGGCAGCTAGGGGTGGGAAGGAAGACAAAATGGCAAAGGATCCCCAGTCACCCATACCCAGGGTATAGTTCTCAATGGAAACCAAACAGAAAGAAACCTACAGACACTCCTGCAGGAAAGAAGAGTAAGCATACTCTCTCGCATGAGCTTGAGAGGACAGGCTGTTGTGTTGCCACTTTGATCATGAGATTTGGATGAGGAAAAAAATGTGGGATTTGGGCCTCATTTGGGTTTGGTTCTTGACTCTTGTCCCCTGTTGGCTGTATGACCTCAAGGAAGGCACCTGACCCCCTGAGCCTTCACTTCTTCATCTTTATAGTGGGACTGTGCAACCCGGAGTCTGCCTAGGATTCAGTTTTGTCTGGTGAACTAGCAGGGCAACCTCACAGGTCTGGGGAATCTCCCTTTCCTGAGGAGCTGAAAGGAGCCAAGCCCAGTGGGCTCATCAGTGACAAAGCGTCCATATTGGGGGAGAGAATAGTCTGAGTATACTGCGGTTTGGTGGTTGGCATCTGTCCTTGGCCTTACCCCATAAGGCATCCATGTCTGATTCCTGGGTAAAAGTGTCCCCAAAAGCTAAAAGGATGCTTGCTAACACTCCACAGGACACTGAGGGTAGTGTCACTTTGATGTGACCCCCATAACCAAGCACAACAGGAAAGAGGCATCTTCTCTTCAAGATGCCACAGGGCAGCTTTGCCAGAGTGAGACCGCAGAGCAGGGAAAGGAACAGTGCATGGGGCCTCAGCACTGATTTGTCAGTGAGTACCTTCCCCAGGGACTCCCTGTAAGTACAGGGTGGAGAGCATTGTACAGAGAGTTAGGCTCTACATGAGACTTGGTAGCAACAAACAGACTAAAATGTGGATTATTGGTCCCAACGTGGCTTCACTTGCCCCACACTGGTGCATAGCCTAGGTTTTCCAGAGAAACAAAACCGGTAAGGTAGATACATAGAGAGCCCTGTAAGGGGGGATTTGTTACAGGAATTGGTTCATGTAGGCCGAGAAGTCCCACGATCTGCAGGCTGCAAACTGGAGAACTAGGAAAGCCAGTGGCGTGAAGGCCTAAGGACCAGGGCAGCCAATGGTGTAACTCCCAGTCTAGGGCCGAAGGTTTGAGAAACAGGGGTGGAGTGGGGGTGGAAGGGAGGGGCCTACTGGTTAAGTCTTAAATTCCAAAGATCCAAGAACCTGGAGTTCCAAAACTTGTGGGCTTGGGGAAAAAAAAAAGAATGTCCCAGCTCCGGAAAAGAGAATTTGCTTCTTTCTCCCCCTTTCCATCCCATTTGGGCCCTCAACAAAGTGGATGATGCCCACTGGCTATGGTGAGGGTGGATCTTCTTTCCTCAGTCCTCTAATTCAGATTCTGATCTCCCCCAGAAACACCCTCACAGACACACCCAGAAGTAGAAGTAATGTTTTACCGGCTAGCTTGGTGTTGCTTAAGCCAGCCGTCAAACCTGGTGAGGGATACTTGGTTAAGACCCACCCACGGGGTCAAACAAGATGCGCCCATGTTTGGGCCTGGACACGGTGGACACACAGTACGTGTCAGATCTCCTCAGAACCACCCGGGCCCCCCCCCCCGGACTGTGGAGAATGCTCATAACCTCCCCTGGGTGTTTGAGAATTAAACAGCATTCCCATGGCAAGTATTTGCAATCAAAAAGTAACCCAACACATATGTTTAAACATCTAATATATGTCAGGAAGTTCTACATGCTAGGAGGGATTTGAAATTACCTTTTCTCCTCAGTACTTTAGAGTTTGCAGAGTACGCTGATGTGAATTTTACCCATCATAGTCCTCACCACAACCTAATGAGGTAGGATCCCCATATACAGGTAGGAAGATTGCATTTCAGTGAGGTCATTTGTCTATACTCACCTGGCTAATCAGGGGTATGGCGGGGCTCAGAACCAATAAAGTTCAGTGGGAAACTGAGACCAAAACAAAAAGGGGAAAACAGCAAAAATACTAAAATGTGTGACTCTGACTCACAGTGGTGGACAGGAGATCTCTGGCTGGACATCAGAGGAGGTTACCGGGACCGGGGTCAGTTCTAACCTGAGTGTAGAGCTGGGGAGGAGGGCTACCGATGGGGCCTCACCTGGTGCCCCAGGAGCTAGCACCTAGCTTTTCACATTTCATGGAGGATTTCTACAGACCTTTCGAAAGGAAACTGCCACTCACTCTCCTCAGGCCTCTGAGAGACTTTTCTGCCATCACTCACCCTGATCATCCAATTCACCCTTGTGGTGACAGATGCTGGTCTCAGGATCTGTAACCCAATCACTTCTTCTGCTTCTTGGAGAATTATTTATGGCATCCTGGAAGTATGCAGAGCCACACACTGAAGTGTGCCAACGTAAGTAAACCGAAATGCTGCTCCTTTCAAATTGCAGAAATAATGAAAGAGACAAGAAAAAACATGAACGTGATGGGCCAGACTCCGTAAGAATACTTCTCACACTCACGATCTCCTACTGTAGTTCTCATGATATCAGTTGGAAAATGGTTTCATTCCCATGCTGACAATTCCGGAAATGAACTCTCAGAGAGGCAAGGTAACTTGGCTAAAGTCATCGCTCCTAAGTGTCAAACGTAGGATTTGAACTCAGTATCTGAATACTTCAAGGCATTTCTCAGTATTAAGGGTCTTCAAAAAGTTTATGTAGAATGCATATTATGAAAAAACTATGCATGGGCTGGGTACATATGCATGTGTGGGAGGAGAATGGAGAAGGGATTTGGGTGTGGCCATTCCGTCCAGGAGGGTGTTTTCTCATGTTCTCTTTCTCCAGTGAGCACACATGCCCTTCAGCAAAAAAGAAAGAAAAAAAACTGCACATAGATTTCAAAATGTTTTGTATCAAAAACAAACAAACAAAACTCATATTTTAATTCCATGTGTCCATGACCTTGTTGAAGTTCATGCGTATAACACAATTTACAGCCTGAGAGATTGGAAGGACATTGAGAGACAGCCAATAGACATGGTTTAGAAGACAGTGAAATTCCTGACCCTGCTCTTTTACCACTTTGAGTTTATAATGTGACTTCCAAGTCATCAACTTCAGAAGAGTTCTGAAATCACTGAAGTGCTCAGGAATCGTGGAATCCCAACCGTTCGAACTTGGGCAAGGAGGACAATGCCACCAGAGAACCTCCATGGCATGGGTCACTCTCTGTGTGAACGTTCATTTTGGACGGTACTTGTCAAAACCAGACGGGCCCATTCGGCTGGATTGAAGGGGAGGAGGAGATTCTCAGTCGAACCTGCCTGGTTTCCTCACACTCCATTTAATACAAGTGCCAAACTTTGACACATCCTAGCCATTTTGTTTTCTTTTGACAAGAGAAAATGTTTCTCTCTTGACAGGAACAACCTGTAAAATGAAAGCCCTCAGGTGCCGTCGCGGTCTTGACAGTTCTTCAGAAGAAAGCACCTCCTGCCTGTGCTGTGCAGTCCTGGTGCAGGTGAGTCACCGCGCTGCCAGCTGGCAAGTATTTTAAGAAACGGGGACTCTAAGGCGGAAGCAGCAGAGAAAGACGAGGGATGGATTGTCGCCATTAGCTTTGATGGTGTCTTGTTGTCATGGTGCTAGAAAATCACTTCCATTTAGAGTCCCACTCACCAGCTGTTTCGCTGGAAATTTTGATATAGGCTGGTGGCCACCCCGACACAGGCGTGGGACACTGATGTGCGCAAACATGAACGCCTGCAGCAAACACCCACTCCAGAGGACGTGAAGGTGGTTGTTGGAGAGGTATTTTTGTTATTTAAGGTTTTTTGCCATAGGGTGGGTGAGCTTGCGACAGAGAAACAGAGAGACAGTGAGAGAGAGAGTGAGAAATCACCCCCAGGAGGGATGGCCACACCACAATCCCTTCTCCTCCATTCTCCTTTTGGGGTTTTGGGCATGCACACATACATGTGCTCGACGTGATTTTCAAACTGCTGGGTCCAGAACTCAAACTGCAGTCAACCATATGAGAGTCCAGTGCCATAACCACTATGCCACCTGCTAGGCCCTAGAGAAGTATTTAAAAGCCTGGGACCAGCAGATGGTGTAATGATTAAATCATTGGACTCCCATGTATTCAACCACAGTTCAGGTCCCAAACCCGTGGCTTAAAACTCATACTGGGTGCCTGTGGATGCATGCCCAAAATCCAAGAGGAGAATGAAGAAAGGACTGTGGTATGGCCATCCCCCTTGGGGTGTGATTTCTCACTTTCTGTCTCTGTTTCTCTCCCTGTCTCACTGGTGAGCACACGTACCCTATAGTAAAATATCTCTCTTAAAATTAAAAAAAAAAAAAAAGAAAAAGAAAAAAGTCTGTGCTTGGGGCAGGATGGTGACAGAACGATAAAGCACGGCACTGTGAGGCAGACCCACATCAGAAGGTTGCCAGTTCGTGCCCGGAGACCTCCCTGAGTACACTGGGCATGTGTGTGCCAGTGACCCTGTGTGGCTGCAGCTGCAGGTGGATTAGGCATCAGGACCTTGTCAGGGGTGCTGTGTCTCTGTCTCTTTCAATCATGAAATAAATAGACAAAAATTCCCCCAAAAAAGTGGATGACAATCCTGTTTCCCCTAAATCAGTTTGCAGCGAGCCAGCACAACCCTGCCAGCTCCTCACCTCTTACAGCATCGCCGGAAGCCCTGGAGCAGAGTCAGGGACTGTAGGAACTCACCTCAATGTCTGCTCCCTGGGTTCGTATTTCCTTCCAGCAATCAGTGTAATATTATGCTCAGCAACACCTCTAAGAGGCCGTGCCATTCACAACTCTTTCTTGAAAACACTTTAGCATCAAGTCTCAAGCCAAGGAGCCTCCCTCATCCCCTGGAATCCTAGACCCCATCCCAGAACCAGGGGTGTTTTTAGCATTTGCTTAAAGTTTCTCATTTTCATTCTTTGTTCCCGATTATCCTGTCCCAGTTTTCCAAGTGTGCCTTCTCTTATCAAGACACACAGCCCAGTGAGATTCTGTTGGGATGCAAGAATGGTGACTGGGAGAGATTGTCATTTGGGGGCATCCGGTGGTTGATGATTCTAGCAATGGGCAACCTGGGAGATTTAATTCAGCAAGACGAAATGTCTAATCGTTAGCGCTGCCTGGGAGTAAAGATCACACACCTTGTTCATTTTTAATCCTCAGTCCTTAACCCTAACTTGGCACAGAGTAGGTGCTCAGTAAAATTATTTGTTGCATGAATGACTCTTCGTGCATAGAGGTGCCCTGACATGCTAAGTTCAAGCATGATGGCCGCTAACAAGGATGGAGGGTGCTTCTGCTTCATAATAGCACTCGTGAGTCACGTCCAACAACAATGTCCAGGGTCAGGAGGCAGAGGACACGAAGTCCAGGTCTAGCTGGGCCATTTCCTCGGTGTCCTCCAGTGCAACACGGAGGTCATAATGTCCGCTCTGCCCACCTCGCTGGAGGCTTATTGGAACATGACAAAGGAGGAGATGTGGAGGCCCTCTGAAGGCCTCAAAGATGATCCATAGATATGTATTTATTATCATTACTGCAGATCATCAGAGAGTTGAGTTGCTTATAATGATTTTTGACTGCCTCCTTCCACCTCTGTTCTCCTTCACATGCCCTCAAAGACCAAAGCCCAGTTGACCTCCTACCCCAGCCAAGGAGATGTCCATGCTGGCATGGCCAAGCACTGCCCAGTGCCAGCCTCCTGGGAGCTCAGTCATCTTCGTGGTCAGCAAACACTGTCTGCATCACAGGTGGACAGCTGAGAAGGTAAGTCCCAGAAGAGAGGCTGAAAATTGGTGTTCCCTGCCAGTTCCTGAGCTGAGCCAACCAGAGCAGAAGCAGTAAGGTCTTCTCCCCCACAGAACTGTGCCTCCTCTTTCTTGAATCAGCCAGGGAGCCTGCAGCGCTCCATTCTGCCCAGGACAGGCCCCGGGGGGTGAGAGGACTTATCGGGGG